GAGCCTTCGAACACTCATCGAGGATTTACTGTACTAGTATTGGTCGGAATTTCGATTAAATTGCTCCAAAATATAGAAACAAAATTAGAAAAAAATATCATTTCCGTATACGTGGTGTGACAATACAGTTTCGAAAATAATTCATTAAAAATTTTGGTTGGAAACTGAAACAGATTTGAAACAATCGCTTTCAAAGTAGTCCCCTTAAGACTGTTGATACTCATTTTTGGTATCTGTTTTATTGTAATATTCACATTACATTACCAGGTGTAATAATAAAGTTTCGAGAATAATACTGTTTCCATCAAAATGGACGCAAATGTTTAATACGTAACTATGTATTTATTGCAGTTAACATTGTGGCCACTCTGACGGAAATAAAATTATTTTCGAAACTTTATGGTCACACCTCGTAATGGAATATGGTTATTAAAACAGATACCAAAAAGTAAGTACCAGAAATGTTACGTACTGTTGAAATGTTATGTATTCCTTTACAGATTAAAATAAACTGAAAGCTGTATGTAACTTCATTAAAGTTATTACGTACTATAATGTGTTATGCACATTTTAAATTCGAATAAGTATATAAAACCTACCGTCTGTTAATCTTCACAGACTTTTAAAAAACGTTCAAAGCCTCCTAGCTGTAATACCTTTACTTTTACTTTGTACAAATAAAGACACCTGCATAATACAGTCACCAAATTAACATTCTCGTTTTGTAAATTTTGTTTCTGATTATAAAGTCATTTGTACGTCATACTTATTTCCAAATATTGCATACATATCGTTAATCATGCATGTGCTCTAATTATTTTATGAAGTCATTGAATATCAAAGCTATTGGTTTAATATAAACAGCCTATTAATATTATACAAAATTAATGCTGTTATGTACGATTTATGTAGAGTGGAAAGTGATAAATATAAAATCATCGAAATAGTCTGTAATTAAAAATTTTCAAATTCTCCCTTGATTATGTTACGTTCCGAACAAAATTCTTTTTTTGTTTTTCTTTTACTTCGGCTGAAATGCGTTATAAGATTTGATGTTTATAAGATAGTTTTTCTCATTGGCGATGCAAATAAGCTTGTATATATAACGCATTCTTTCAGTAAATTAAGAACATTCCGTCTACACTTTATCAAAATTCGGCGTACAGTTAGCATATCGAAACATAGCAAAGATTCCCATAGCCGTGACTGACAGAGTAAAGAAATTAATTCGGAGAAACCAAAGGAAGAAAGATAGAATTAAAGGAGGAAGGACATACACACTCCTATCACACGTTCAATTAGCGAATCACAGTCCTCAACGCATTAATCTCGCTGCCTGATTCGTCAGGCACCACAGTAATGCAGTGTAAACAAATTCGGACTACATAGGCCCGCTCTGGTCTCTTCCGAGGGTACAACGCTGCGACACTTTTCGATGTACAATCGCGAGGTGCGTGTCGAAGGGTCCGTGAGGTGTTATTTGAGATAGAGTTTTGTTCGCGCTAGCCTAAGAGCTAGAAACCACGACAAAAAGGACTCATACCCCTTACGAAAATTCATTTTATTGTTTAAATATTTTTCTCTTTGCTTTTCTTTAGTTTTATTACATAGTGTTAACAGTTATTATTAATTATAGCAGTTCTAACTTCTTTAATTCGTGACTTTACTCAATTCGATATAAATTCCGTACTTAAATTCAATTAATCACAGTGTGTGTGTGTGTTCTTCCTCATCAGGTTCGTTTTCGGTAACACGCAAATATAAGATTCCAAAAAGGGAGAGAATTCAAAGAATTACAAAAAAGGAAATTTTGTTTGACACTAGTCCATCACCGTTAAAATTTAGGTGAGTTGTTTTCCTTACTCTTCCAGATCAATTCATTGTAAATTATCAGACAAATAGTCTCCAGTAGTTGAATTACAACTGTAGGGTTTCCCTTACTGGAAATTATTTTTATTTTATAATTTGTCTACACGTATCTGTTTGTCTTTGAAATTTAAAATTCGATCCGTTCCATATACCGAGGAATTGTGCGTTATGGTATTCTCCTGGCGATAATCCCTGTTATATTTCTCATTAATTCGATTCCTGCGATTTTGTATTGTATTATTCTACCAAAAGCGTAGTAGTCGTAATTACACATATACACACGCGCCTCGCACGTAACAATTATATGTATCATTCCTTTTAAGAATATAAAGCAATTTTTCTGACTATTGAAAAATGACGCAGCTGGGTTATTTCATTTTTGTAAAGCTGTTCAGGTATATATTATTTATACTTTATCAACATTCAACGAATACATTAAAATATACTAGCATATTTATATCACTTGTTATTAAAATAATATTGAAGAATATCATATATGAATGAGTTAACAAATTCTGTAACATAAACAATTAATGGTACTCCAATAACAAGTAATTAAAATTGAATATTGGAAGCAATTTACTATGGATAAACGTTATAAATTCATTTCGATTGACTTCATTATTGATGTTTACTCAATAAAGAAAATGTAACTCTTCTAATGAGAGTCATGTTGGAAATTTGTAAATCAATTTGTTTAGTCTATTTAACACACAAACGATGTTCTCATTTAAAATTTATTTCTGACTTTTCTAAAGCGAAAACTGCCTATAATTATTAATAGTTTCCGTACGGATAGAGGCTTCACACAATATGTGCCTAATAAAGTGCAGTTAGAAAGTTTGTCCCATGGCACAGGAAAGGTGCTTAATTTCTGTCGTGAATGTAATAAAAATTAAATTATCAGTTACGATGCATTAGAGTTTGTTATTTCCTTGTTCCTGAAACTCGACCAATTCATTATTATTCACCTGCAACATCTACAGGGATTCAAACTCGTTTAACAAACCCCACAAAATATCGATGCTACTCATAAAGTATAAGACAGTTTAGAATTAGAAATATAAATTTTTTAATTTGATAGAATGCAGAAAGAAAGGCAAACATTTCCTATTAAATGTAAGTTCTCAAATTACTCGCTCTTAACATATTCAGTTCTTTCATTTTACAGTGGTCATGTGACATTTTTTATGGAAATATTCTTACTTTTTCATCACTCATCTGTATTTGAATGAATATAAAGAAACAAGTTACAAAATGTAACAATTGTACTATGTCATAGATAATACAGATTACGAGTGCGATGGCCAATTCGAAATTTCTTATGACTTTAAATATGTTACACTCGGGAATTGTTTAATAAACAACATTGAATTATTAAATAAACCAATAATTTTAAATGTCTCTATTAATACCTCTTTCTCCCTTCTTTTAAATCACATTGGGCAGATAAGTGTGTAAGGAAATTTGTATTCCTAGTTTTCTAGATATACATATGTACAGTCAACGCAAACAATATAACGAGATAGTGAACTTATGGAGGCCATAGACGGAAGTTCCTTTGGCGAGTTTTGCCCAGCTGTATCACGCGGTTCTAAAGTTCTCAGAGATTTCACAATTTTCAAAACTGACGAGGAAGGGAAAATACAGTATCCCTTCCCATAAGAAAGCGTTTCGTCGTCTCCCATATCAGCACATTGCTATCTGTATCAATACTTCGCGATAGCCAGCAGTCGGTAGGTCAAGACACTAGTGATTACCAATCAAAACGATCACAAAATAATGTCAACTGCTCTATGAAATTCGACTTGGGCTACTAACAAGCGTAAATTTATCATTGAATATTACAGTTCAGAACGCGAATACCTTGAACAGCCTTGAATAAGGTCCGGGTAAAATATCAGTCACCTACAGTGGGTGTAAAAAGTATTCGTAACACCCTTTAAAACGGAACAACTCTTTTAAAATTGGTCCAAATGACTTGAGTTTTTTTGTGCAGTTAGAGACATTAATTTACTGAATGAGGTGAAAAAAAATTTGAGAAACTTGCAATTGGTCCGAATCGCGAAGAAAATATTAAAGGTCGTATTTTACAACTTTTTAATCTGAGGCTATAATGAAAATTTAATAAATACATATCGAAGATTTACGTTAGTTATATACATGTTGAAAACTTCATCAAAATCGGTTAACGTTGCTACGAGATACAAACGATTGAAAATGTTGAAAATCGCAGTTTTTCCAGGCTTTCGATCTACAACTGTAGTAAATCTAACAATTCTCACATCTTTTGATGTCTGTCGCTCGTTTCTGTATTAACCGATTTCGATGAAAGTTTCATTATGTACATAACTAACATAAATCTTCGATATGTATTTATTAAATTTTCATTATAGCCTCCGATTAAAAAGTTGTAAAACGCGACCTTTAATATTTTCTTCGCGATTCGGACCAATTGCAACTTTTTCAATTTTTTTTTCACATCATTTGGTAAATTAATGTCTCTAACTTCACAGAAAAACTCAAGTTATTTGGACCAATTTTAAAAGAGTTGTTCCGTTTTAAAATGTGTACGAATACTTTTTACACTCACTGTAGTAACACGATATCCTTTGTTGACCGCTGTATACATATCTCTATTTATGGTACCACTGAGTCAGGTACCTGACTATATGGTTATCGTTGAGTATAATGTCCTGAAGTATCAGAAATCAGTTTTCGGTACAAATGATCAAAAAGACCCAAAGTTCACACGGCTGTGCCCAAATTGCAGCTCGTAACGATAGCAGTAATAACGCGATTCGGTCTACGTCCTCGATTGATTTCTGCACAGGAATTTACCCCATTTAAGGGTGTACCTAATCAAGTGGTTTCAAAGCCACTTAAAAAGTTTCGATAACGTTTTTTCTTTCAGATCGGCAAGCATATCGCTTTAGTCGAATCGAAAACATTTCGCGCTCACCCTTGAACGCCGAATCCAGCAGCTTATAAATTACAGGCGTTAGCTTTTTCTTACTTAAACATTAGTCTTGTCTCCCCCCGACCCGAAATCAATCCGTTGGATTATCTGCGGACCGGAGTCACTTACGAGGCGAATACTCCGAGCCGAGAAACGATAATAGAGGAGGAAATTATTGATTGAGAGAGATAATAAATCGTCGACGTAGAGTGATATACTTACTGGTAGCGCTGACAGCTGGTCCGATGACCGAGTACTTGGGGTTACCGGTAACGGCCCCTGGGATGACCTTGTCCGGCTCTGAAATACATTATTGTAATTATCCTCGGAATATACAGTGCCGTTAATTACAGTTGGGAGTCGCGTGTGCGAATGGAACACGGCCAATTTACCTTAGCAAAGGATCCCCCATTCATGATTTATTACCCCATAAATAGCCGGACGTTTGAATGCCACTTATTTCTTGCCGGTTTCGTACGCGACACCCAGGGAAACTAATAATTCCCGATGTATTATCAGGGAAAATAGTGTTATTAATTTTGCCGATTGGAGGGAAAAAGTTCGATTCACTATGAGAAATCGTTATTTCTAGTGTGTGTATAATCCCTAAACGGATGAAGACAATAAGGGACGCTGGCTCTATCGACTGCGAAAGAGCAACTTGATGCGTAATGATGCCGCCCATATCGGAAGGTTACCCGTAAAACCTCGGAATCTGTAAGTTTCCATGGTACATCACGACAAAGTGGATGTTCAAAGGAATTACCCTAGAAGGTAACCGACGGGTGGATAACTGGAAAAAGTGGCGGTAAAAAAGAGAGCTTTATATTCTGCTTTACCGACGGTGTAATGATGGCGGAAGGAAGCTTCACGGAAGCTCTACTTGGAAGCGCTTTGTCCATGCTTTTCGGTAACGACTCTCTGCGTTGAACTTGCGAAACGCTTTCCCTTGGAATCTGCCGTATCGACGAATGAAATCTACGAAACGACGGGATTCGGATTGCTTTAGCACCGAGGAAACACAAACTTCTCTGATAATTTACGAGACCGTTTTTCGTTTTGTAAGAGCTTGAAACTTTACTTAACTCACCGCCATTAAAACGATTAAGAGACTCGGGTAAACGCAGATCGATGACGATACTTTGTGTGAAATGTTTCTCCTTGTGAACCGGAAAAGTGTAGTTTCAGCGACAGAACGAGGATTTCTTTTCCCAAAGATTGCCTGGATTACTTGTGATTAAAGTCTTGATTCGTTCATGGATCAAGTGATGTGTTGAAAATTAAAAGAGAACGAAATGTTAATGGTATAGTGCTTCAGGTACGAAGAATATCAAGATTTTAGATGCACGTATGTAAGTCATTCTACATTTTCAATTATATATATCTTCTTTGTTTTAAGTAGGTAGTTCACTTGCATCATTGTATCATTACCAATTAGCTGTAATTTGTAAACAGACACACCGTTTTGTATTGAATTCAGAATAATTTTTTTTTCAATTATCTCATGCACCACATATTTTAATATGTGTAACTTATTCATCGGATTCATAGAACAACACTTATGATTTTAACGATCAGAAATTCACAAAATATTATTGTCTAAAATGGTTAACTACGTTTGCAATTGACAGTTCGTTGACATTGTTGCTGTCTAGGTTCTTCATCGGTTTTAGTTCTTAAACAAAACATTTTTAAACATTCCTTCCAGAATCCAAATTTTATTTCTGTCTTTCACTTGCTTCTATATCCCTATACTTTTTCAAAATATAGAGCAACCTTCAAATGGATAGTTTACTTACTCAAGAGCCCGATGAAGTAAATATGTACAAAACTATTATGCAATAACATACCTTATGAATTTCTACTTCGTTAACCGGTTGCATTTATCATATAATTCCAAAAACCTGTTGCGGTCAGTCGTTGCGCAAATCTCAAAAGACTCGTTATATAAAGCACGGTGGAAATACAGGTGGTATTAAATTATACGACGTAAGCTGACCTACGCGAACAGATTATCCGTCGATTAAAGAGCGTAAGTTGACGTACAAAAATTAAATAATTATCCTGAGAATTACTAGAAAATCTGAATCCAACTGCTTCAGACTTCGATCGCTTTCGCAACAGAGATGTCTTTACGATATGTATTCAAGAAACACGAAGGAGAGATGACCGAACCGATGGTGTAATTAAGGAAAGAGAATCTATGAATGAGTGTCGATGGATATACATAATGCTCGCGGAAAATCTCAATTCGTTACTTACCAGGATGCGGTGCATCGTCCAATGGCTGGAATTGGAACATCGCCTTGAATCCTTGGCCCGGCCACTCGGAATTAGCGACGAACTCGACGTACAGGTCTGGCCCGGTGCTGAGTACTTCCACTTCCGCTCCTTGGTTGCAGAGCACGGCTATTGTGGGTGCCCCTGAATCCGTTCCGTCGTGCACTCTGATTAAATCCGCCCTATTCAGGCAACTGCAACAGGATGCATTTCGTTAACAACAACAACTTATCGGTATATTACTTCAGGTCGCGAATAAGTCGAGCGAAAGCAGACGGATCCGTTCAACTAACAGCACGACACGGCAGCGTAAAGGGGATCGAAATGGTCGAGCTAAGTGGAGAAAAATTCTTCGGTATAGAAGGAACCGGTTAGGTGATCCGGAAAATTTGTAGCATTTTAGGTATACTGTCTTTATTAGCTGCTTTACCGGCGAAAGAAGAAGTTGTTCGATCTAGTAAACATGTACTACGTGTTTTAAATGTATTGGATTCGCCAAAAAAGTAATCTCGCAGTTCAACAGTAGATGCTTTTTTTATTTTTCAATAAAAAAACACTGCTTCGAATTGATGAAATATGTACGTTTTCTGAAAGGTGATACTTGAACACGTTTAACACGTTGACTGCCACAGTGAAAAAGGCCGTACGTAGCCAGACACACTATATTTCGTTTATAAGTCATAAATTGTCGAAAATATTTGAGTTTAGTTAATAGAGACTGTAGGTCTTGTTTTAAATTATACTGCGACATTAATTTCATGCAAACATTTTATAACAGTGTTTAAATAATCCAGACACTTTTCAATGTACGTGTCACCCATATTTGGGTTACGTGGCAGTCAAAGTGTTAAAAGAGCGTCACAAGTTCGTTCCATGTTATTGAATTGACCTTGTTTTTAAAATGAGTGACGAGAAAGTGTAGTTTCGAGCAATTATATATTTTTTTGTTAATGACGCGTAGAAGCCACATAAATGTCAAATTTGTCTTTTTAATGGACTTATATATTTCTTTGACGTATCATGATTTAAGAGGAATTAGCGTACTATGCCGAAAACCGGTATTTAATCCCTTATAATCTGAATTTCTTTCGTGACTATTAAAAAGTTTATGCAACATGAAACATATCAACCTCTAAATACAAACTATCAATGAATTTACAATTATCAAAGATTTTATTATTGGTCCGATATTTCAAGCTAGAGAAGAAAGAATCTTATCGGTTACCAAAGAAAGATTATAGAGCACGATGTGTACATTATATAGCAGTAAAAAATTAAATTAGACCAAAAAAATATCGATATACCTGTATGTGACTTTAAAAGCACACGGGGCTACAAAGGATTCAGAGATACTTTAATTTAAAAATTACCATATGATACTAGTAATATGATGTTTACCCTCTTAAAGTTGATATTCAAAAGTATGTCACTAAATGTCACACAATTTTAAAATTAAACTATCTCTTAAACTGATGGTTTTTCAATAAAAATCACTTAATACATTTTTATAGGGAGTAACGCGCAGCAACGATTACTGTATTGAAAAATATATAATAATATATTCTATTGAAAAGCCCAAGTTTTACCCTCATATCTCTTTTTACATCAAATTACTTCCGTCTCGGAATTATTCAACTATTACCTGAAAAACTTTACAGTATCGTTAACGACATTAAGAAAATTAATTTCTTAATAAGTTAATTCTTTAAGATATTCACAGGGGAACCATTTAAATAGCCTGTATCCAAAGAAAACCTGCACCGATCGCCAAAGTATTAACCTAAACCGATGACCAAGTAATAACAGACCTGAGTTGTGACTTGTATTACATTCTGCTAATTCGCAAATAATGACGTGAAAAGTACCAACCAACTCTAAAAACTTCATTTGACTTGAAAAATACATTCTCTTTGAAGCCGCAAAGATGACTTTGGCCTAACAGTCACACATAAACAACCTTTTTACTTTAACCATCTTCCATATACCTACATCGACCATTCCGACCACTAAGCACCGTGGACCAATGGAAAAGAGGGGGATCTAGCTGAACGTTATGGGACAAAACCATCCACGAAGAATTCTTTCCACGATAGTCGGCTCGTTATCTCCCATTTTACTGTTTTCTTCTGCAGATTCAGCACGCGCGTGGGCCGCACTTAAGTTGCCAACCGTCGAACCACCGGCAATGAAGATCACGGGCTTATTTTATTTGTCTTGCTGTTTGGGTAATGTATTCAACTGCGGAGGTAATTCGAATGAGAGGGGGGGGGGGTGTACCAGAGAAATCCAGGCTCATTATGGAAATTCGAAAGTTCTCGCGAGTGTTACGATCGACGGAGTTACGAGTTGAAAAACAAATGAGTCGGCTCTCGTATGTTGTACGAAGGAAACGATAAGTATTCGAGGTTTTTTTCTGGACGGAAAACAGGAAGTTTTCTTTGAAACCGCGAAGTTCTTCCGCAAGATACAATATTTTCGTTTCTCTGCAGCCGGAGAATTTGTTTCTTTTTTTTACTGTGTCAGGACCAGTTTTTAATTAACTTCTTGGATATGTGTCTTGTGTGTGTTTAAGTATATAAACTGCAGAAATGCATTTTCGTATCCTAGCATTCGACGTCCAACAGAATTCACGTTAAAAGCTTCTTATTAGTATCAACAGTGAAATTAATTTCGTAAATGTTATTAAAATGTGGTAAACGTTCCATAGTGAAAGTTTCTAAAAATACCTTCTGGGTCAATTCGTTGATATTAGGTTGCGGTTATTTACCAAATTATATGCAGCATCTCCTAACTTGTAGAACGTATTAAAATGAAGGTTCTAGCAAAGTTTAATTCTATTTATGTATTGTTATTACCATAGTGAAGCACCTAGTGCATCATTTAAAAGTCTATACATTTTTTATTTTTATATATTAGTGTTCAAAATATTGTAGGCGTACAAACTATCGCAGTCTAGTTAATAATTACCCTACATTATCTATAAGAATTCAATCCCCTCTGAAATATCTTAAACAATATCAGTCTGTGTTCAGTATTTTAATTTAAATTTCAGGGTCCGATTGTGAGATATGCCTGGGAAATAAATAAAATATAGGTTGTCGTGCTAAAATTTTCCTAGATTACAATAGAATACAAAAAACTGTATTCTATAAAAATAGAAAATTGTATAATCCGTATACCGTTCTGTTATATCGTTGTCAATCATGTTCCATTTAACATATAAATTTCTACCTAGTCGTTACGCATAATTTCATTTTCCCCCAACAAGTCCACCAATTGTAAATAGTGTGTGTACACAGAAATTTAAAATAACAAGACGCAACATAATTATTTCAGTCCAACAAGAATATTTAGATTGGAGTCAAATCCTAAAAATCACAAAGTACATTCAGTCACACATATTTACGAATAATGAAAAGCACAAGTCATAGGTACGTCGACACACCTAACTTTCATTTCACAAAAAATAATAAAACTCGATCACCGCCATATAAAACAAATCGCTTTGTTACTACCCTCTTTGAAGAAATCTACGATCCACGACCAAAGCATGTGAAAAACGAGCAGCGAAAATTACTTTCACTCGGGCGAAAAAAGGAAGAAGAAATTCAAAATCCCTATATTCATCGGAGCGTCGTTAATCCCTTCTACGTTCTCGCGACTGATGAACGAGCCACGCGTTAAAAGGGACGGAAATTGAAACGCGGCGAAAAAGAAACCTGCACGACTTTCCGGCCTCTTTCCATTTATCGACGGGTTCGCGCAGCTCGAGAAGAACTCCAGACGTCGATTTCTGGCCGGAGGAGTAGTCGACGCGAGTACTCGGTGTATGTTCTTCAAGGTCTGACGCTCAACGAAGGTGAGATAAGTTCCCTTCGAGTGACTCGGCTCGTTGCAAAATCTCAGGGAAAAAAACGGGGGAAGAGAGGCCAGGTGGAAGAGAAGAGGCGGCCGAGGTCGACGTCGAGAGCGCCAACATAGCGGGATTAAAGGTGAACCTGCGAGAATACTGGGCAACGGGAACGACAGTTGTTGCGGCTGTTCGCGATGAATTCGGGATTTACCACTGCTCTATGATAAATTAATGTCATGGAGCGCTTTTGCAATTAATGTGATTTAAATGAGTGAACATGGACTTAGTAAGTTAACCCTTTGGGTACATTTGACGAGTGTGACTCGTCATCTGCTTACTTGGGCGAAGTTACGGTGGACGAGTCTGACTCGTCATCTGAATTTAAGAAGCAGGCGTTGATGTTTATGGTATAAACATAAAATAAGAAAAGAAACCACTTGGCAAAGCAAACGATGCCAGGTACCTTTGCATTTACCGACATGTTTTGAAAAATACCACTCGGTACAAAATTAGTAGACTTTAAGTTGGTTCTTGTTCTATATAAATATTTCTATTTTGTTTCATTTATATATTTATTTATATTTTCTAACTAAAATGCTGTTTCAAAAATATATTTATATCACCAATACAAGTATATTCCAAATAAAATGTATTACTTTCACATATTAATCCATATAGCGACAAATTAAATCCGTCCCATGGCATAAAAATCTTCAAATAATTCAGTACTCAAAAGGTTAACCCGATGAAGTAATCTGTCGGTTGTTTGTATGAGTAGTTGATCGTTGGTGTGGATCACCTTACGATTGGTTGTACGAATCTGTGTAATGGTGGAAACTGGAGAATTTTTGTTGTTATATACTGTGTGGGTATGGTACTATAAGGTAGGAAAAGTAGGGTTTGGAACGTGTATTGGTTTCCTGGAAATCAACATCAAAATGTAATAAATAACTGTTTATAAAAGCACAGCGGATATTTGCACGTGATGTATAGCTACCTAGAAATCCCTGTTTATGACATTCTGCTAACTATACTGACGGATCCAAGACGTGGTGATACTTTTGATTATCTGAACAAGGTCGCAGCAATGATGAAGATATAGAATAGAATAGGCCAGGATAAAGCAGAGACGAAGGAAGGAAATACCGAAGAAAATTGTTTCATTGACAGTCGGTAATTCTTTCTACAGGTATACGCCAACTACTTTGCTCAATTGAACGAAAGAGAATTACACCTGAGAATAACACCGTCAAGGATCCGGGGGTCGGATCGATCTGCAGTCTTGATCGATAGTGACCACGAGATAACCGTATTACCTCCACGGGTTAAGCAATTACATTG